CCCTGAACTGTTTGAAGCCTCTGCAAATAACCAGACCAAACAGAAGACCCTCTTCCACGGAGGCGACCCTGTGGGACAAAGCGGAGCTGCCCCCAGAGGCCTTTCTCCCACCAAGAGGTTGGTGGGGCCCAAGCACTGGCCTTGCGGTTAGCCGTGGCGAGCTCTAATCGCTGTGCGGCCGCGGCTCCGTGAACACAGCCATCGCTCAGATGTATGGAGAGCTTGCTGTGTGCCACAGACAAGGATTTGCACATGGTATTTTACTCAACCTCATAACCTATTTCATAGCACTGCCTGGAGGAATAAATGAGTTTAAAAAATCTCTTTATTTAAAAAGCAACAACCTCCAAAATAATAATAATAATACTAAGTTGCTGTGGACTTGATTCCACCTTCTGGTGGTGACTGTGCACGTGACAGAGAACGGCTCCTGGGGTTTTCGAGTGGGACTTTTGGGGAGCAGACCTCTAGGCTGCAGAATGATGATGGGGTCTGTCACCAGGAAGACTTTCAGCCTGGGAAGCCTTCTGGGGGCAGCCCTACTCTGTCCTCCAGGGTCGCTGTGAATGGTGGGCTTGGGGTCTGGTTCTAATCTTCTCAGGGGCAGATCGAAGGGTCTTGTCTCCTGTGGACGGGTGCTGGGTTAGAACTGCCAACCTTTGAGTGGGCAGCAGAGAACTAAACTGCTGAGGTGCCAGTGCAGCATGAAAGAAAATCAGCCTGAGGAGCCGATCTCAGCACTGCTCTGGGGGTCTAAGGGTTAAGGGAAAGGCCTAGGCTGACAGTTGAAGCCTGGGGATGGGGATGGGGGAATGAGAAGGAGACCCATCCCCCCTCCTGTCTACTCCCCTCTTCGCTCACCTCCCCTGCCTGGCTGGATCACTTATGTCTGATTTTGAATGAGGCATTTGCACACCATCCTTCAATGCCCCTGCTGCCAGGTTATGCTAAGGGGCCTAGCCTCCTGCCCCGGGCCTCTCCTGGTCCCCACCCCACCCCGCCCCCTGCACCTGTGGTCCAGTCCCACACAAGTTCCCAGACTGACCCTCTCTGCCTGGCCGTCTGTTTCATGTCACCTGTTCACCTCACCCCTGCAGCCCTCCACCACATATAGCCCTCTCTTCTCTTGTTCCTTGGTTCATCTCACTGCACACTCTAGTTGGAAACCTGGGGTGACCCCTGGCCCCCCTCCCTTGTTCCTACTCATAGAACCAGGCTGGCTCCTACTGGCCCTGCCCTCCTGATCCCCCGCTATGTCCACTGCACCACTGGCCAGACTGACGGCAGCCAAGCCACCTCTCGATCCTGCTCAGACCAAGTGGTACCCGTGGTCCTGAGCTCTTTCTCCTGGAGCGAAGGCGTGATGACCTTGGGGAGGAAATGACGTGACCCTCATAAAGCCCTTAGCATCGAGGAAGAATGGCCTGGAGATCTGCTATTATGAACACAGAGGACAAAACCCCTGGGGAGCACAGGACAAAACCTCTGTATGTGTGGAGCCCCCGGGAGCTGGAATCACCCCAAACCCCTCAGAGGCCACACAGGTAGGAGACCTGCTGGTCACCTGTAGGACCCTGGTCAAGTCCCTTATCAGACTCATCTGTCCTATGGGGTTTGTTGGAAGGCCCAGTGGACAGTGGCAGCAGGAGCACCTGCCAAAGGACATTGACTCTACTGTGGGGCTGCCAGGAGAAACAAGGGATCCGGCCTCAGAGCCAAGATGCCCAGAACGCTCCTTAGAAGCGAAGGCAGCCAAGGCTTCAGTGCCATTACTCTGGGCTAGTCCTCAGCAAGGACCAGTTGCTGGAGAAGGCCGTCAGGTCGGGTGCAGGGCGGGTCGGGATGGAAACACGGCCACGGGGGGCGACGCAGACGCGCCCATGGCTGTGAGGATGGCGTGGGGCCGGGCAGCGTTCCTTTCCTCCTGCTGTCCTGGCTGGTTACATAGAGTACACTCGTGTCACATGGTGCTCACACGCCAGCCTCCTATGCGTGGTGCGTGTTTTTAGCCTGTGTGTTTACTTCCGTGACATACATGGAAACGCTGTATGTGCTGTTGCTATGAGCCAGACCCCAGTCTATCGTTCCTAAAGACAACTGTGAGCCTGCTTGCTAATCCCACAGCTGCTCACCAGACAGGCCTTACCCACAGACCCTGGGCAGTTGACCTGACCTCTCTGTCCCCTGGGAGGGGCTGATGAGACTCTCCAGTGGTGGCAGCGCTACTCTGTGCAGCCCTGAGGCTCAGAGGCACCCGGGTGGCACTGGCCAGGTGTGAACTCAGTCCTCACACCGTATTCTCTGTGCACTTCTCCCAAGACTGATGACAGGGGTGCCTCCTGTGTGTCACCCACAGTCCCGCTCTGGTGTGCATGGGGTCTGAAATGGCCAGGTGGCCAATCACATGAGGACAGAGGTCTGTGGGCATGGATGCCAAGAGGTCTCTATTATTTCTAGGGAATCAGCGATTCCCCTGGAGGCCCTGCGTGGAGCCAAGGGGTCCCGGGAGCAGCCGCAGGTGCCAACAGCCAACTCTCCAGCTTCCACTCATGTATGTATGAGCGAGGGATCAGGCCAGCTCAGACAGATAGACAGACAGAGATACCTTATCAGCTCCCAACTGCCCACCCACGTGACCCCGCCTGGGACACTTGTCCCCGGGGTCACTGAGGGTCTGGTGGGAGCTCAGTCAGGATTCCATCAACAACATTAACACCACCACCAGAGGCTTCAGTGCCCAGTGTGGGACGTGCTTCTCTGTGGCCACAGTTCTCGGCCCAGCCATGGGAGTGGTGGCTGCATACACTGATGAATGGGGATCGCTGCAGGGACCTTCCGGGTCCTGTCAGAGGCATGTTCCAATGAACACACGCACGCACGCACACATACACACATATGTGCACACGCACACACACCTGGCCTTCCTTAGAGTGGGGGGAGGGGAGAGAGGCTGCTCTTTAGCTTGTAGTGAGGACGATTCTGGATTTGATGCCAAGCACCTAGGCAGACCTCGTTCCTCACCTTCATCTCTGCACCATGGATACCCACGCCCGTGGGACCCACTCCCATCTGGCTTTCACCCCACGGCTGCCTTTGACCAGCCGGGGGTGTGATCAGGTGGGTGGCCCGAGGCCACGCAGGCTGAACTCCTGAAAATCATCACTGAGAACAGGCCGGCCCTGCCACCGCCTCCGTGCCTTTGCCTAAATCGAACCCACAGCGGGTCCACCCCAACCAAGGCTGAGCCAAGGACAGAGAGCTGCCCCCTCGGGTGTCAGAGGCCGGAAGTTCATAAGGAAGCCGACTGCCACTTCGCTCCCGGAACCGGGCGCTTTACTGTTGCCCCACCAGGGCATCCTCATCAAGTGCTGGACACCTGCTCCGGGTTCCTTCTGAGGTGCTTGTTCCGGTCGGAGCAGATGTCACCAAGACCCCGTGGAAGGCAGCAGGGCTCTACAATCTGGTCCTCAGCTCTGAAGCCAAGTTCCATTCAAAGCTGGTGGCCCTGGGCCTGTGGCACCTCATCACAGACACCCAGCTTGCCGACTGCTCTACGTGATGGCAGTTCAAATCCCAGTGGTATGATGAAAGAAAGGCCTGGCGAACTGCTTCCATAAAGATTAAACAACAACCACTGCCAAACCCATTGCCATCCAGGCGATGCCAACCCTTAGGACAGGGCAGGGCCACCCATGGGCTTCGAGACTGTCACCTTTATGCAAGGTTACAGACTGCCTCATTCGGTTGGGGGCTCCAACCCTTCACCTTCCGCTGAGCACTTCATCACTGAGTCACCAGGGTTTCTTTGTAAGGATGGGGATCAGGAGAACCCTGCTCAGCAGCTTCACTCTGAAACTAACACAAGGGTCATCACGAGTCAGTCAGCTATACCTCAGTGCTTGTTTCCCTCGGTGGCACAGCTCGTTCAGCACCGGGCTGCTAATTGCAAGATCAGCAGTTTGGAACTGGAGGACAAGGCCTTCCCTTCCCATAAAGATGCATAGCCATGGAAACCCCCAGGGATGGAGAAGGAATTTGGAGTTGTAAACACTGGTGGTTGGCACAGAGCAGAGGCAGGGAAGGTGGTGACCCATGATTCCCTCAGGGCCGGCGGATACGTTGTGTCTGACTTTCTCCTGAGGACCGATAGACACATTTTATGCTGAGCTCTGTTCACAGTGCAGACAGTCCTGCAGTGGCTACAAGGCTGCCCACCCTGGACCACTGAATGGAAGCCAGTCCAAGTAGACGGGCACCCCAGCACATCTTTCTGAAATTCAACACTGGTTCCACTCTTCAGAGGCTCGGAACACTCATTGCCGCCGAGTCTTGCCTCAGCTTACAGTGCTCTCTGCTCCCAACTGCACTCTGCAGCGTTTCTTTCCAGGGGTTGACTTTGGTGGGTGGGAGCAGGGGCCATGCAGACTTCCAGGCCTTTCTTCCTGGGCACCTCTGGGTGGACTCCACCCTCAGACCTTTCCTTATAACCACCCAGGGACTCACCAAAGACATTAGAGGCAGTTAGTTTGAGGTGGATTCCATGTTGGGCTGCTAATCACAAGGTCAGCAGTTCGAATCCATCAGCCGCTCCAAAGGACAGAGACGTGGCTTTCTACTCCAGGAAAGAGTGACGGTCTCAGAGACCCACAGGGGTAGTTCTACCATGTCCTATAGGGTCGCTATGCATCGGCGTGGACTCGATGGCAGTGAGCTTTTAGAGGCAAGCCTCTGAGCACCACAGCTAGGAGGGGAGAGAGGGGCTCCTTGGAGAGTTCTGTATAGAACCAGGCCTTCATGTGCGGCTCCTACTTGTCTAGTTGACCCATCCCAGGCATGAGGTCCCTGAGCGATCCCTCTCGGTACAGAATCTACCTAGGGGAGAGGAGGAGGAGTGTGTCCCGTCCCCACTGGCTAGGAGAGCCAACAGTGGGACCAAGTGCTCCTTCCTTCTCTCCAGCACCACAGGAAGGGAAGCGCCACAACACACTGGCACTAGCAGCAAAACTAAAGAACATATTTTATTTTTAATAAAATAAGGACGCATGAAAAATAGCATATATGACAGATACCCACGAGGGGGGGGGGCAGCCTTTCCTGAGCCGGCAGACTACACCGGGCAAAGGCTGGAAGCTTAAGTCACTCCTTAACAAGAGCGGGAATAAACCAGCCCCTGGGGGTGCTTTCGAATGATCCTTCTCCTTCTGGCTGCCTCCCCTTCTCTCCACGCTCCCCACACACCAGTCCCAGAGGGCCTGACACTGGCTTGGTTTCCTTTAAAAGTCCCAGAGTGTAGCCCTGACGAGTCCAGAGGGCTGGGCCCCTCTCGGTCCATTGTTTGCAGGCTCCCTGGTTGCCTCTTTCTGTGGCGGCGACTTGTGTCTCCTGTTGCTTTCACGGAGAGAAGGGGGAGGGGCGGCGTATTGCACATCTTTGGATTCGCCAAATGTGTGGTTTGGCGGGATGTTGCTTTTGGGGGGAAGAAAGACCAAGTTTGAAGGCTGGAGCCTGACTTCTCCTTTCTGTCACTTCCAAAGTGTCCCAGTCTCTGGGTGTGCACAGACGTTGCCTTCCCGGTAGCAGCCTTTTCAAATGCTTTTTTTTTTTTGATGGGGGGTGGGGTGGGAGGAGGCGGATGGCTCATTTGCTAAACAGGGCGCAGAGTTCCCGGGGAAACCCAGTGGAGGGCTTTTAACTGCTCTCATTTGTAAATGGACAGGAAATCCCCCTCTGTGCCCAGACCAGTGTTTAGGGAAGGGGTTAAACAGCCAATTTATTAGGAGGGCCCAGTCAACTAGTGGACCACAAATTAGTGACTGCAGAGAGCACTGAAATGGCAAGATATCCTCCACTGGGGGGTTGGGGGGGATGGGGCTGTGGGAAGCAAAACCCAACCCCCTTTAAGTCAATACATTTTACATATATATATAGATATTTCCTTTTCAGTGTATCACAGTATCCTGAATTTCAGGGTACAAACTTTTTATTTTTCTCTCTTACTTTTATTAAAAAAGGGAACTGCCCCCCAAGTAAAACAAAAACAACAAACAAAACCAAAAACACGAAACCAAACGAGCCTGCTACGCTAGGTCGCCCAGACGCCAAGCGGCCACCACAGGCGCCAAGAAAGCAAACTCCCAGAGCCCGCATGCCCTCTGTGTCTGCCTGCTTACACACAGGTGGGCGGCGGCAGCGCTGGCACCTCATATTTGCCATGGTGGGTCTTTGGGGGGTGCTGGGCCTTCCTGTAAATCCCACTGGCGGCGAGGGAGCTGGCGGTCTTGGGGCGGCCCTTGGTGAGCCGGGGCCTGCACACGTTCTGCCAGGACTGCAGCGTCTTGCCGGTCCAGACCCACATGCCGCTGGTGATACCCACCACCAGCAGCATGAAGACCTTCACCATGAAGACCTCCACGGCGGGGATTGAGGCGGCCATCAGGCAGTCCGCGCTCTTGGTCTGGTTGTTGACTCTGCACGCGTGCTGCGTGGCCAGCTCCTTCCAGGAGTCCATGTTGAGGCGTTCATACAGGTAGCAGGCGATGACGCAAGTGGCAGGTACCGTGTAGAGGACGGAGAAGGCGCCAATGCGCACCATGAGCCGCTCCAGTTTGTCCGTGTCCTCCCCGCCTGACTTCATCACCCTTCGGATGTGGAAGAGCGCCACGAAGCCCGACAGGATGAAGGAGGTGCCGATGACCAGGTAGCAGGCCAGCGGGACCAGCACGAAGCCCGTCAGCGCCGAGGTGTCCATGCCGCCCACGTAGCATACGCCAGTCAGCTCGTCGCCCGCCACCCTGCGCATCACCAGGATCAGGATGGTCTTCACGGCGGGCACGGCCCAGGCGGCCAGGTGGAAGTAGCTGCTGTTGGCCTCGATTGCCTCGTGGCCCCACTTCTTGCCGGCCGCCAGGAACCAGGTGAGTGTGAGGATGACCCACCAGAGCGAGCTGGCCATGCCGAAGTAGTACAGCACCAGGAAGACCAGCGTGCACCCGGTGCTCTCCAGGCCCTCCTGTATGACATAGAGCTGCCCGCTGTCCCGGTCGCAGGCGATGCTCTCGGCGCCCGCGAACAGGCGGATGATGTAGCCCACAGAGTAGACGCAGTAGCACATGGAGAGGAAGATGATGGGGCGCTCGGGGTACCTGAAGCGGTGGGGGTCGATGAGGAAGGTGAGCACCGTGAAGGCGCTAGAGAAGAAGCAGAGCACGGACCACACGGCCAGCCAGACCACGGCGAAGCGCTTGTCCCCGCGGCTCCAGTACACATCCACGCCGGGCGTGCAGAGAGGCGCGCACGAAGCGCTCTTCTCCACGTGGTGGAACTTGCCCCGGTTGCCGCAGCCGCCGCGCGCTGGGGCCCCGTCCTTGAGCTGCAGCTCTTGCGAGCCGGGCGGCCGCTGGGGCCGGAAGAGCGGCGGGAAGAGGCCGGAGCCGCGCGTGGGCTCCTCCGAGCCGTTGTTGGGTGCCTCCATGCACAGGTAGTTGGGGTCGTTCTTGTTGGGGAGCTTGAAGCAGTCCAGCGAGTCGGGCCACTTGAAGTTGAACTGTTCCATGATCGGGGAGCACTTGAGCCGGGCCTGCTCGCACATGACCCTGCAGGCGGGGATGGGGGTGGAAACCTGCTCCGTGCACATGGGCGCGTACAGCGAGCACAGGAAGAAGCGCAGGTGCCGGTGGCAGCCGTACTCCACCAGCGGCGCGAACTCGTGCAGCTGGATGGCCGCCTCGCGCTGGTTCTCGTGCCCCATTAGGTTGGGCATGCGGGTCATGTTGTAGCCGATATCCCGGCACATCGGGATCTCGATGGGCTGGCATTGGCCGTCGCCCGGGCGCTCCAGGTCCAAGGAACTGATGGCGGCGCACG